TCACTTAACTAATTAAATTTAATTGAGGCTTTTTCTTTTGAACCATGTCCCATTGAAAAGATAGAACGGCGTCGCTTGCTCTGTCATCATGCACCTTGGTAACATTCAGCGGAGGACCTCGTGCGTCCTAGGGTCTGTGCTCGGTGCCTGTGATAAGAGGAAGAGGAAGGGCAGCACGTCCAGGGACTTCACTGTAGCAAGTGCAGACCTACTTGGCTTCCTTTCCTGTCATGACCAGTGCTCTGAGCGGGGCAGGCCAGCGCCTGTGAGGACAGGAGCAGCAGCTCTGAAAGTGGGAGGGGAAAAATGGGCTTTTCATTGACAGAATTAGAGGTGGAGGAAGTGTCAGTGTGTGTGTGTGTGTGTGTGTGTGTGTGTGCGCACGCGCACGCACACCAGTCCCCAGATGTGTCCCTGTGAGTTTGAAAAGTGCGGTGACACTCCGCGGGGCCCTGCTACCCCTCTGATCTCATCCACCGGCTTCTCCCTTATTCCCTCTACTCCAGCCTCCTTGCCAAACACTCCAATATCACTCCTTCCTACTTGCTGGTCCCTCTGCCTGGAATCCTGGCGCAGACAGCCACGTCTCCCTCACTTCGGTGGGTCTCCATGCCTAGGCCCCCTTATCAGAGGGGCCTTTTCTAACCATCATGTGTGAGGTGGAACCCTCTTCCCTGCCTGTCATTCCCAGGGCCAGACAAGAGGCAGGGCAGAGGTGGTGAGATGTACAGAGGAGGGTGTTTCTTAGGAGTTGAAGTTGTCAGGGAAGGCTTCACTGAAGCAGACAGATACTGTGCCAGGACTTGACACACAGGAGGACGCTTTTTGCATCAGGCATGCACAGTAGATGAGGGAAGTGTGGAAATAGGACCTGCACTGTGAATGGCCTTGGATGTCAGCTCTAGGGAATTGTCATCTAGCTATTCCAGCTCTGAACTTCCCTATGAGGTCTTGGAGACTTTGAATGTGTGAAACAGCAGGTTTTTAGGAATGCCAGCATTGTCACTCTCTAGTGTCCTGAACTTGCAGACAGGAGTCGTGCTCTGCTTCAGCTCAGATGAACACTGAGAATCTCCCGTTTTATTCAAATACTGCCTTTCTCAAAAACAAGTCCCTTGTACATATGTCTTGAAACTAGTAGTTGTTTATTAAAAAAAAGAAAAGAAAATAGTTGTATTTTCTTCACCTTAGACATTTTAGGAGTAGTTTTGGCTTTTTACCATTCTAGATTTATTCTAGATTATGGTGTTTACACTTGCATCTGGCTAAGGGTAAGCTTAGCATGAGAATTTAGAGTAGTGATTTTCAACTCCAGCTACATGTTGGAACCACTTGGGGTGGGGGCTTTGGGAAAAAACCCGTAGATTCCTATATAATTGTTTTGGAATGTTGCCTCTGGTAATGGTTTCCTACCATTTAATCTTTGGCCCCTACCCAAGGTTTAACACTTGCCCTGGTATAGGCTTTGTAACAGAAGGATCACACTTTGCATTTGGTGGTTGTATCCCTTTAGTCCCCTTCCATTTGGAACAGTTCCCCCATCTTTCCTTGGTGTTCGTGACCCTGAAACTTTTGAAGATTTTAAACCAATGATTTTCTAAAATGTCTCCCAATTTGGGACTGTTTGATGTTTCTTTGTGATGATATTCAGGCTACGCATATCATAGGATTAATGCTGTGTTCTCAGAGTCTCTTGACAGGTTACTCATAATTTAATTGTGTCCCATCATTGATGATATTCATGTGGATTACTTAATTAAGGTGCTATCCACTAGGCTTCTCCTTTGTGTAATTATTATTTTCTCTTTTGTAATTAATAAGTGGTTTATGGTGTGGTGCTTTAAAAATTACGTGACTATTACATTCCTTGGTATTTTCAAGGTATTCACTTATTTCTTTCTGTATGGACTCAGTTTTCCTATTTTATACAATGGCTTATAATCTGTTACTATCATTACTTATTTTTAGTGTCATATTGTCCCAGATTTAGCTTGTAAGACCCTCTTCAGGCTTTTGTGACCATTTGACATGTCTCATCATTTGTCAGAGATTTTCTTGCTTGTTGGCAAACAAGCATTGCAGCTCATTTTGTGCTTTTCATCATCAAGCTCCCAAATTAGTTCTTTCTCCAAAAAAAAAAAAAAAAACAGTGATTCTCTTAGTGAAGGATGGTATTTAGAAGCCATAATCAGGGTTCGAGGTATGTTCATAGCTACTATGTTTGGATGTTGCTTGTTCCCAAGCCCTCTCAGTGATATAGCTAGAGAATAAGTATGTGTATTTGCATACATGAAGGAATATACACATAGAGACACACAAAGTTCCATCTGCTTTTTTTTGTTATGTTTATCCCTATGTATTAAAAATTATGAGTTCATGCCAATAACTAATACTGATCCAACTCCACGGGGTTCATTTGAGTTTTCTTTTTCCATTTTGGTAACTCCTCTTTTCCATACTGAGAAACCTGACTGTTACCATCCTTAATGTGTTACTGGTCAGTCCCCCATGTAACTGATCTCTCATCACTACCACCATAGATGGGTGGGTGCCCTCTTTACCCCTGCTGGGCTCTGACACAGCATAGAGAGATTTCAGAGTTCTTTAAATGATGCTAAGGTGCAGCCAAGATACAACACAATTGAGATAGAATAAAGGTGAACCCCACACTTTCTGATTCATTATTAGGCGAATGATAAGTTAAGTCAGGTTTGGTTTGGGAAAATGAATTCTTCCTAAGAAAGTGAGATTTAAAGAGAAGACTCAATTCTACCAACACACACAGTAAAAGATCAGGGTGAAAGCACAGTCTGTCTCCTGGAAAGCTTCAAAAAATATTTGTTTTGGAAATAAATCTGCTTGTAGTGAACATAAGTTTCAATCCCTTCCCCTGAATTACCTGTTTATAGGAAAAAATATTTGAAAAGGTTAGTTTTTTTAAGAATGTGTCTCATTAATGACTAACTGCTTTTCTTTGTTTTACCTTGCCTTTTTAAAATAAACTTTTACAACATTTTATATTTAGAGCATTGAATATTTAAACAGGAGATACTCATTCAGGCTATGGTTGCTCTTTTTCTGTAGTCAGTTGTACTTTAAAATATGGAAATCAAGTTACAGTAACTGGGTCATGAGGAACCCCATCTTCTCCTTCCATTTGCCAGCCAGAGGAAGCAAGAGGTTCTAAGAGCCAAATATAACAGGTTCTGCAGCCAGCCTACCTTAGATGGTCAACATCTATCTTGCCAATTTTCGTAAATCCATTTTCTTGAAGTAGTACACAACTGCAAGTAGATTTTCACCAAGAACTTCACTTAGGCTGATGTACACATAATCCAACTCCAATGAAAGCAGCCTTACGCCTAAGGAAATTATAATAAAATCTCTTCTTTGTATTTTTTAAGTTGTCATGGATGTTTGGCTTCCCAGTTGACTCAGTGGTAAAGAATCTGCCTGCAATTCAGGAGGCGCAGGTTCGATCCGTGGGTCGGAAACATCCCCAGGAGCAGGAAATGGCAGCCCACTGCAGTGTTCTTGCCTGGGAAATCCCATGGACAGAGGTGCCTGGCGGGCTACAGTCCATGGGGTTGTAAAAGAGTTGGACACGACTTAGCAACTAAACAGCGTGGACAGCAACAACATGGGCGTTGTGTTGGAATGTGAATTGTGCACTTTAGGCTTTTGTGTGTTTATGCCCAGAAGTATAGGTGAAAGGGCAGCATCTGTGAATGTAGAAAGAGCCACTGAAAACTTGATGTAGAGATGAAGCACTTCATTTGTTTGTTCAGTTCTTATTTTCTGTAAGTGAAGTGTCCCTCCCTGTTGACGGCGGTGTGCTCGGTGCTGGCCCTTGGCTCCCCCTGGGCAGGGTGGGTGAGTCGAGCCCTTCAGGAGCCGTCGCTGTGGTTTTGCCGCCTGCGGGCCTTGAACACTTTGCTTTAGTTTGTTTGACTCAACTTAACCTTTATCTGAGTGGTATCAATGAACCATGGATTTGCTGTCGGGTCCCCTAAAACCACAAGTATTGCAGACGGCATCTCTTCAGTTGTTGGGAACTGGGAGCTCGATCTCTTAACTCTTCTTCCAGCTCTGAAATTCAATAAGCTTGGCATCTGGGGTTTCCAGCTGGGAGTTTTGACGTTAACGCCAGTGGTGGTTTATGCGTTTTTCCAAGTTGATACATAGAAGTAGAAGTCGTCAACTTTCTATATATATGTTAGAATATTAGATTGTATATAAGAATATTTTATGTAATACAGTAACTATTGCATTTTGCAGTTATTTTTCAAATGTGAGGGACAAATTACATGATTTTAGTTTCTTAAGATTTGGTACATATTTCTCCAGCTAGAATATTTATTTTTATGTATTATTTTTATTTTAATTGAGGAGAGCAAAACCTGATGATCCTAACTGTGAAATCACCCAGTACATGGATTTACAGAACCTTCAATACAGCCTTAAAAACACAAGTAGAAAACATGTAAAACATACATTGTTAATAATGTAGAAGAAAAATACAGAATTTGTAACATAGGGTTTTATATTCACTGCTCTGAAGATGTCATGGGAAAACACCTAAATCATGATAAATACCTGTATACTGTAACTGAAGTCATATATTCTGCATTAGTTGTGGTGAGGACTGTCAGAAGCCAACTGAATGTTGTCATATAATCAAATTACGTTCTTTGCTTAGTGGAAATACAATAATCATGTATGTGTGTGTTTAGAAAGATATTATAAAAACTCACTCTACTGAACTCTTTAAAACTAAACTTGATGTCCTGTTGCAAAAGGGGTTACAGACCAAAATAAGGAGGATAAGTAAATACGATGGGTTTTCTGTATCCTGCTAGCTTAAATGGAGTACTGTGTTCTGCTCGGTCAGAGATGAAGTGTCTGTCGCCTTGCACACCATCTATAAGCATTTAATTTGCTACACAAATAGACTGTGAATATAGATGTTTAACCTTGTGGTATGACATTACTTTTAACAGAGAGAAGGAGCAAGAAAGGGAAGAACAGTTAATGGAAGACAAGAAAAGGAAGAAAGAGGATAAAAAGAAAAAAGAAGCCACTCAGAAGGTGGGTTTAATCAGTTAAGTCTGTCTTTACATCCGCTGCATATCTAGAATGAGTTGCCTTGGCTTGGATGCCTGACATCTTAATAATGCTACTTGAGGCATTAGTTTACTTGAGATTTGAAAGTGGGAGAAAGTTAAAGACCCTCACTGATTATCATAAAGTAGATGTTAAATTAATGCTGCAGCTGATTTTATTGAAAACAACAGTAAGTAAGATCAAGAAAAACAGGAGAGTTACCAACACTTAAATGCTTGTTGTGTTTCCTTGTTTGTATCATAATTAATCTCCATTTTCTTAAGCAGGTTTATGGAATGATTTTTCAAAACTTGTGAGTTTGCCTTGGTATTGTCCTCCTGGTCCACCTACAGTGTCACTTTATATGAGTCTGCTTTTTGATAATTCCATTAAAAAAAAAAAAATCTCCCTCAAAGTCCATAAAGAATCCTCCCTCAAAGAGGATCGGGGCGGGGGCGGGCACAACTTCCCTGATGGTTCAGTGGCTAAGACTGTGCTTCCAATGCAAAGGCCTGGGTTGGATCCCTGGTCAGAGAACTAGGTCCCACATGCCACAACTAAGAGTTTGCACACCACAACTAAAAATCCCACATGTTGCAACTAAGACCTGGCACAGCCAAATAAATAAATATATATATATTTTAAATTAAAAGAGGATCTGGTGGGCCTGCTTAGTGCTCTGAAGGTGATAGTATTGCATGGCTTTGAGGCATTTGCTTAGGGAGAAAGAGATGCTAAAAGGAAAAAAAACATAGGACCGACAGATGTCAACTGTCAGGGCTGTGGGGAACAGAGAGTGGCTAGACCTCCTGCCCTGTCCCCTCTGCCCTGGCCATAGTCTGAGCTGCCTGCCTGCCCTCGCTGCTCTTTAAGCTCCAGGAGCTTCACCTGATGGGCTCTGGTTCGGCAGGGGGCTTTGCTGCCTTTGCAAAGTGCCTGGCAGGATCACTTCACCTCCAGTTCTTGTTACCACTGTCTGACACGCTTGGGGAGCAGACCCTCACTGTGAGGCAGCTTTGAGGGTCCCTGCTATGGAGCCAGGTTATTGAAACTAGGTTTAGGGAGGGGGACAACTGTTAACAGGGTTCAGAGGCAACTCTGGATTTAGAACAGACTCAAGGCATTCAAACTCAAGGGACACTGCAAGTTTCCCCTGCATCATTAGATAGCATTTCCCTTAATTCTGTTCTCTGAATTGTTGAAATCACGTAGGAGTGCCGGCATAAGACCCAATACTGGAAATATTTTCTGACTTAGATTGCATGTGACCCTGCTGCATTAAACATGTGAAATGTAGTTTATCTTCAAGGCTTAATTAAAAGGAATATTCATTATTGTTTGGTGCCGTAATAGACTACTGCACTCTTTAAGGTTTTGTCTGCTTTTAATTGTGTTTCTGGCTCTATTAATAGTGGCGGGCTCACCATCACATCTTCATGCTGTCAGGATACCTGCTCTGATCTGAGCTTGTTGAAACTGTCTAAAATGATGGTACAGAGTCGGAATTAAAATGTCAGATGACAGCCCAGAGGCTTTTTTTATACTTGGTGGACACAGCCACCTTCCACGTCATTGAAGTTGTTATATGCGGCCCCACCAGCTCTGGGTGTCAGAGGCGTTGCCCCTGTAGCCACACGTACTGACTTTCCTCTGGGAGTGATGGGAGAGTGAAGCTCAGTGAGGCTTTCTTTCCTTAGGGCATTCCCATTTCACCTACTGAACTGGTACAAGAAATGGATTTTGCAGTCTGTGGAAATGCATGGTTATAAGCTGTCCTCTGGGGACCTTGAACAAAGGCTGATAACAGGAAAATGCCAAATAGAGTGATTGTTTTGGGCCTTGTGTACAGTTCATCTTTGTTTTTCACATAGGTAACAATGTCTTTTAACCTGAAATACCAATGCTAGAAGTGATTAATAATAATGTGCATCTGTAAACCCTTGTTGTGGATCCCCCTAATAGAAAAATGACTCAAAAGATGGTGTGAGTTCATTCAAGAGTGAATTGGGATTATTTGTGCAGAGAATTTCGTACGTACAGCTGGAGTGTCTACCCTGTGTGCTTGCATCTGCTGTAAGAACTGGTTTAAAACGGCCAAGAGAAGTATCACTGTAAATGAAATTTCACATGGTTAATTACGAACATTAAAAATTTGGTCACGTTTGTTCAAAAATGTTCTAGATTGGCTGGCATAGGATCTAGGCTTGACACGTGGCCTTTGGTATTGTTTTACCATCCTGAACCATTGTATAATTTCAGAATTAGATTCTGATTTAGCACTTTTAAGGAGCAAGCACAAAGCTCACCATGTGACTGTCTTAGTGGTTTTTAACCTCACTGTAGAGACAGCATCTCAACTAAGAGGCTTAAAATGTGCTATGATGCAAAGAATTGTAGAGAATGTGCCAGTGGCCCTATAATGGGGTCATACACTCACTCAGTCAGCGAATATGTGGTGCCTCTTCTTAGTGCTTCCACATCTTTCTCACAGCTTACCCCATTGCTTTATAATCATCTCTTCGTGTCTGTTTTCCCCATTAGACTGGTAAGTTTCTCGAGGTTTTATTCATATTTATATTTCCAGTAACTAAGACAGTGCCCAAGACAAAAGCATTACTCAAAAAATGTTTGTTTAATAAGTAAATGGTCAAGAATGAATGCTAGCAACATAATGTTCATGGAGAACTGACTTTTATTTAGCTAAATTAAATTATTTATACATAGAAATTAAACATGAACTGCTTTTCCATTGTTCTCAGTGGTTATGGAGGTTTGTTCTTTCTAGAACCATCCTTGAATAAACGGTGTTAGATTTCCAGTTATGAAGGAGGTGTCTGAGAAGGATTTTGCCTCACATTCATTAGGCTGATGCTGTTCAAGGATCATTGTTTAGCGTTAGCAGAACCCATGCTTTGATCTTCCAGCTTTTCACTGTCTTGGAGGACAGCACTTTTAAAAGAAACCACATTTTAAGACACATTTGTCATTAGTTGGATTTGTTGCTTATAGCTAGGGAAGACATTGACTTCCAGTAATAACTTATCTTCCAAATGGCATTCTAAGAAGTATTTATTTACCGTGGTATAAACTGCTGTAAGGAATTGATATGTGGTTGCAAATCAGTTCATTCTTGGATAGGTGGGGTTACAGAAAAATTATACAGTAGAACTGAGCTCTGTAACAATTAGTACTGGGAAACATTCACTTTAAGAGGCTGCCTAGCACAAATTCAGTACAGCTGATTTAGCTTGTCTTTTAATGCAAGAATGTAAGAAACACTCCAGGAGGTCATCCAAATGGATTGTTTAATTCAGTGGTGTGCTGGAATCCATTTTAAAGCGGGCTGGTTAGCCACAGGACAGACCTTCCGAAGATGAGCATGTTTTCATGAACGTCCAGAGCAGTAACTTTGTATGATTACCAGCCACAAATAATCAGACCTCTTCTTTTCTATATGAATATTTTGGTTATAGAAGTTGGAGAACCAATACAAAAAAATTTTTTTGAAGATTAGCAATTGGGAACAGGGGGTCAAAATAACCCATGATCTCAATAATGTGATTTAACCCCTGTTGGAATTCTGGTACATTCCCTTTGGTATGTCTTATTCATGACCTTTTGTGGTTTTGTTTAAATATTATAAGGCATGGATAATTAGATGTCCTCCTTTATTTTCCCCTCTTAATAGCAGAAGAGTTTTCCATGTGGCTCCTAGTCATCATTTCCAAACTCTCTCAAAACCCATTATTATATTTAGCATGTCCAATCTTTTAGGTTAATCACTTCCAGAAATGTATTCGTTACTATATAAAGAAATACTTTCAACAAAGCAGTCTATATTTGTTCAAATTTGTGTGTGTCTGTATGCTCAGTCACTCAGTCATGTCCGACCCTTTGCAACCCCACGGACTGTAGCCCGCCAGGCTCCTCTGTCCCTGGGATTTCCCAGTCAAGAATGGAGTGGGTTACCACTTCCTTCTCCAGGGGATCTTCCCATTCTAGGGATCAAATCCACATCTTTTATGTCTCCTGCATTGGCAGGCAGATTCTTTACCACTGCTCTACCTGGGAAACTACATTATAATTTCAACCTTATTGCTCTATTTCACATTATTTTCTATAAACTTTGATAATTATAATAGCAAACAGTTATTGAGCATTGGTATAGGTTATCTGGCTTAATCTTTACAGCAGTCCTTTGCAGAGAGATACTTTTATTATCCTCATTCAACAGATAAAGAGAAAACTGAGATCACACAGACAGGAAGTGGCAGAGCTTGGTTTTAATCCAACTTTCCTACTGTGATCTCTGATGCCTCTGTGCATAGGCCCTTAAACTTTGCTTTCTAGATTTGAAGTCAGGTGTCTGGGTCCATACTCACAGGGAAATCTTTTTGTATCTGTGGTAAATTTTGTTTCTGGGCCTCATCCATTTCGTTTTCTGGATGTCAGAATGGGAAACACTATCCCCAATGCAGGGACCTCATTATTTATCAAGAGTGAGTGCTTTTTGTCTTAATTTTTGGACTCTTTCATAGTGATGGTCATGTAAGTTACAGCCAGACATATGGCCATTGTCTTTAGAAGGATATCTGAGGTGACTTTTTCTGAGCTTTAGCTCTGCCTATGTATCTGACAGCTTGAATTATTTGAGGTATCAGAATTACAGTAATCTTATAATACTGGTTTAGAAAGCAAGTCTCATTTACCTATGTCTGTTTATTTTGCAGGTCACGGAACAAAAAACCAAAGGTAAAATTTTCTTTTTCTTCCTTTTTAGATTTGTGCTCTTTTGTGTTGAGATTTTGCACTTGCCGACTCAGCCTCCAGTCCACTTGATGCATGAGGGTGGGTGTAGAATAATTAAGGTTGGTTGTCTGCAGTTACTGAAGAGCAGTAATGACAAAGTAAAAGTACTTATACTAGTGTTTCTAGTTGGCCTTATGTTTTTTTAGGAGGCAGGAGAGTAGAGAGAGTAATTCCCCATTTTGAAAGTAAGGAGGTCATGATTTTGAACAGAATCTTTTCAGAATTTTTCTTGGAACAATAACAAAAGCAGCACACTGGCCCCTACTTTACAGATGGCAACTGCAGAGAGTTGTTAGCCATCTTGATCTGTGACAGGCATTGAGTCTGAAAATGAGTGTTATATTTAGGATGGTCACACTGTCTTCTGAGCTAGAGCCTAGAATATGCTTTTTGAAAAGATAATGTACTTTACCGATTACAAAATAGTGATATGTGGTAAACAGAAGCAGATATTCCTGAGGTCATTCTCAACCTCTAATGGTCTGCATGTTTTCAGTTCTTTCTCTTCTGTTACTTTTGACTATGCAGTCTTGTCTGTGATGGTCATACTTTGGTCAATCCCGTTAAGGACGAGAAGCATCATTCCTTGAGACCAGTGTTGTAGCTCCTATCCTCGCCCATTTGAATATGATGTTCTCTGCTAGCATACGCACTCAAATTATCTGCATAGAGTTGTCAAAACACCCAAACCCAGGTCTCTTCCCACACCCTCATGGTCCCAAGCCGCAGCCATAGCAGGTATACTTAGGGAAGTTCTGTAGATGACCACAGTATATGTCCCAGATTGAGAACCACTGTCCTAGATGAAGGGAATTGTGATAACCTGGGGGAAGATAGGGTCATAGAGAAGCCAGGCTTAATGAGAGCTTCACTGAGGACTGGTTTCTCCATTGTTCTGTTTTGTTTTGTTGGACTAAGCATGTCACACAGTGATGGAAGACTAATAAAGGCAGTATTAGTTTCTTATGGAACTTAGTTCAGGAAAACAGATTCTCAGATGAGTAGACATTACTGCCATATATTTCTAATTGAAAGGCATTTCAGGGAATTCCCTGGTGGTCCAGTGGTTAGGACTCCATGCTTCCCCTGCAGGGGACAGAGGTTCGATCCCTGGTTGGAGAAATAAGATTGTGCATACCTCATGGTGCTGCCAAAAAAAAAAAAAAGATAAAAGGGAAAGAAAGGCATTTCTTTTTTTTTTTTTTTTTTCATTTATTTTTATTAGTTGGAGGCTAATTACTTTACAGTATTGTAGTGGTTTTTGTCATACATTGACATGAATCAGCCATGGATTTACATGTATTCCCCATCCTGATCCCCCCTCCCACCTCCCTCTCCACCCGATCCCTCTGGGTCTTCCCAGTACACCAGGCCCAAGCACTTGTCTCATGCATCCAACCTGGGCTGGTGATCTGTTTCACCCTAGATAATATACATGTTTTGATGCTGTTCTCAGAAGGGCATTTCAAAGGAGAAAATAGTCTAGAACTTTTTACTGATTTATAAATAAACTGAGCAAAACTTACTAGTTTTAATTACTTTAATTAGTTAAAATAGTGTTCTCCCTTTATATTTTGTCAGTTCCTAACCCAGAAATAGGCATTATTTTGAAAGTATCTCTGTAAATTACTTGTTTGAAATATAAATTATACTTTACAATAGAAACAGAGTTATTGATCATGAAACACTGTCCATATTTTCTAAACCAACATACTATCTAGGAAAGGATTTTGACATATAAGTGTTTTTATAGGACTTTTTGATGACTTATGGGGACAACAGATGAGAAAATTGGCCTTTTCCTGAAAAAATCCAGACTCTGTGGTTACTGGAACACAGTGATTGGGTTCCTGGGCCTGGCCACAATTTTTAATACTTGTGAAGCCAGGGACCAGTTGAGCTGTTGAAACAAGCTGCTCTGTATGTTAAGTGGTATTTCTGTTGGAAAACTGAAAATCCGTTAGATTTTTCTTTCTTTTTTTATTTGTACCGGGTCTGTTCTTAGAATCACATTCCTCTTTCCTCTGCCAAAGCCCTAAAACTTAAATTTTCTTTTTTACTTCTACCAAAGTTTTCCTCTGTTTAGGGTTTTTCTCATATCTACCATAAAATGGAGTACAGTTTCACAGTTTCCATATTCCCCTTCAAAAATTAAAGTAAAATAATCTCAAGTGAGCGGAGCACCTGTTTTGAGTCTCATAATGGATTTAATTGTTAGAACCAGAGAATAAAAATAAAAATTATCCCTGAGGTGTGTTAGACCATAAGAAGAGGGAGGCCCTGATCTTTTTACCTTTTTTTAATCCCATTTTACAGCTGTATCTTCATCTTTGTACCCAGGAGTCTGCCTGAATCCCACTCCTCTTCCCTCAGCTGATGTTTCTGGGTCCTGTTCCTCTTCCCAAAGATGATGCCTTCCTTGGGCAGCCTCCCCTGAACCTGAATCCACCTCTCTTTCCCCAGCAGACCCTATGAGAAAAAAAGAAAAGACTGTGTTGGTGTCAAGGCTCTGGTTGTACAGAGAGGACTAAAGTAAGATTTGTCCATATTTCAGAGGAAAAGTAGATTCCCTGTATATTTTTTTATCTTACATCTTTTTTTTTTAAAGGGTGAGGATTTCAGAGAGAACAGAATGGGCTTTCAAGTAGAGGTGATGGGCATGGGCTAGAGCTGGGCCTGCTGCTCAAGTCATAAATACTGAAAGGTACTTAGGTAGCAACTGATCTTGTTCATTAGGCATTGGTCTTGGAATTGGAGACATTTGTAGGATTGATAAAATAGACCAGATTTAACAGGGATGAAGGATACAATTAGGATTAAAGATGTAGACTATGTAATGGAAGAGTTTGGACTTAACCACCTAGTGTTATTGGGAAGGTATTAGGTCTTAGGGTTACAGTGGGCTTAATAGAAGTTACCAGTATGAACTGATTTATAGAAACACAGCTTTAAGCTACATTACTAGAAATACAGTATCTAAGCAGGGATTTGCAGTTCCTGTAATGGGCACCGCTCTATGGAAAGGAACAGAGATTGACCTCTGTTGGATGGACCTTGAGGAGTTCGGGCCAGATTGGTCAAGGAATTGGAACCTGTGTGCCCTCTGGGAGGCCTAGACGCTGGAAGAGGGGAGGGAATGTTTAACCCCCAAGGAAAGGCTTTCCACATGGGGAAGCTCTGATAACTTCAAAGATTTGAGGGACTTTGGTGCCTGACATTTAGCATTTCCTTGGTAAATGTCTGTTGGCGAGTCAAAGAAACAGGGAAAAACTTCTGGCTCAGTATAAATTAAAATTTTTAGATATTATTGTACAAAGCAAATTCATAATCTTCACCCAACTGGGACACAACAAAAAAACCGTTTTCCAATCATCATACCTTGGATGATGGACCATTTTATTCCACTGGCCAAAACTCTTATCTTTGAGTCTATTCCAGAAATCCTGTTACAGTGACTACATGGTGCTCATTGTAATAACCTTCAGTTCAGTTCAGTTGCGTCAGACTCTTTGCAACCCCATGGACTGCAGCACTCCAGGCTTCCCTTTCCATCACCAACTCCTAGAGCTTACTCAGACTCATATCTATCAAGTCGGTGATGCCATCCAACCATCTCATCCTCTGTCGTCCCCTTCTCCTCCTGCCTTAAATCTTTCTCAGCATCAGGGTCTTTTCCAATGAGTCAGTTTTTCGCATTAGATGGCCAGACTGTTGGAGTTTCAGCTTCAGCATCAGTCCTTCCAATGAATATACATGACTGATTTCCTTTAGGATGGACTGGTTGGATCTCCTTGCAGTCCAAGGGACTCTCAAGAGTCTTCTCCAACACCACAGTTCAAAAGCATCAATTCTTCAGCACTCAGCTTTCTTTATGGTCCAACTCGCACATCCATACATGACTACTGGAAAAACCATTTACTAGACGGACCTTTGTTGGCAAAGTAATGTCTCTGCTTTTTAATATGCTGTCTAGGTTGGTCATAGCTTTTCTTCCAAGGAGCAAGAGCCTTAATTTCATGGCTGCATGTACTAACCTTGGGTCTGCTCTAATTTGAGCTTCCCTGGTGGTTCAGTGGTAAAGAATCTGCTGGCCAGTGTAGGAGATGGGGGTTCAGTCTTTGGGTCAGAAAGACCCCCTAGAGAAAGAATTGGCAACCCAGCCCAGTATTCTTGCCTGGGAAATTCCATGGACAGAGGAGTCAGACATGACTTAGTGACTAAAACAACAAACAACAGCCAGTCTAATTTATTAATATTTAAGACAGGCTCCACCCCCACCCCCCAGGTTCAACCAGTTCCCATTAAACTGGGAACGAAATCACTAATTATTTAATGAGGAGAGGAACTTCCAGTGAGATGATCTGGGCAAAAGCCATTGTGCATTGAGTTTGGGGAATGAGTGGGAGGTAAAGAAACAGAGACAGTGCTTAGAGGTTGCTGAACAGTGTTGAGCTTGCATCGGCCACTCTGTGTCATCAGTCTTTGAGATATTTTTGTATTGCCTTGATTATTATTCACCAAGAAATTCTTCAGTCTAAAATAATGTCTTTTGTAGAACATGTTTGTATTTTAACTATTACTTTTAAAACGTTACTGGAAGATGTTTTTTTGGTTTTGTTTTTTAATGTTTGATACCATCAAGGTATTTAAAGAAAATAGTTTATTGGTCCTGCCCATCTCAGAATTTTCTGAAGAAAACTTTTATCTGAAAAAGCATCTTATTGAAGTTTTTCAGATGAGATTGGTATAAAATAATGGCAACAGAGAGCGGGAAAAGATTCAGTCATTAGAGGAAGTAAATGGTTTTCAGTGGTAAATGAATGGAAATTAGAAAGTAGGATACCCAGTTTTTTCCACAGTATCTTTATTCCCCTTTGAAGCAGAGATCAGGTTTAAGCCACAGACCTTTTCTCTGGAAAATAAGAAACTATGCCTTTATTTTGAGCAGCTCATCTTCAGAAATAATTGTACCACAAGCTGCAAACCATTAAGATTCAGAAGAGAAAAGAGAGGACCTGAGAAGTAATTCAGACTTAATCATAGTTTCCCTCTCCTCGGTTACCCCTGATGTTCTGGACTATGACGTGATACCTGCAGGGATTCTGATGTCTCTAGTTGGACTTCAGGATGCAGGTTGGATTGGGCATCCTGCCTAACACCACCTGCATTGCTCTCCAGTTAGTGCTTAGAGTGTAGTAAAACAGGGTAAAAACTCATTCAAGCCCTGAAACAGTTCGCTCTTAACATGTACTGCAGGCAGGCTTTTTCTGGCAGTGTCCTAGAGTTTTGAATGACTAATCTCCCAGGAGGGAGCACTGTGTTGGAAGGAGGATAGTCAAAAGGTGGTCCCATTTTATTATGACTTTATTACTTATAGTCCATTGTACCTCTGATGTGATGGTGGGAAAATGCCCTGAGAGCTTTGCAGGGAATCTTATACAGTATATGATATCTACCAGATTTCTTCCACTGTGCTATGAGTGATTCGGAGTTCATCCAACTGATATTCAGATCTCAGCTCTATAGGCTCTTCTTACCATGTCTGATTCTATTTTAGGGAAATGAGTGACAAGCCTGGTTACTTTAAAGTGGCGATTCTAGTCTTTTTATAGAAGGGCGGCCCTGTAGAAGCATAATTCCTTCTGGCCTAAAAGCTAGTTGGGAAGAATTTCCCCCAGCCTTCATCAGCTTCTTGTTTCTTCTCATAATAAGAGGAGAAGAGATTGGAAATGCTGTGTGCTATGGAATCCTCCAGACACAGATAGAAAATGGATCATTAAATAATTCATTTGTATTCATCCATTTGTCAGTCATTTATACATTGGTCTTTATAAGTCATGCAAAGTCCACTATATTAATAATACTGGGTTAGCCCAAAGTTAGTTCAGGTTTTTCTGTAAGATGTTATGGAAAAACCCAAATGAACTTTTGGATCAACATAGTATTAGGCAATGACCTATTTATTTTCTTGAGAAATACATCTATTTATTTATCTGTTCATCCTCTCACCTCTCTTCCTTCCTGGGAGGCACAGTACTGCCTCATGATTGGCTAAGGTTAGACAAGGGGTTTAAGCCTCGAAGTTACTTCAGGCTCCTGCTCTTTTTTCTTCCTGTTACTCATAGTACCCCAGTGTCCAGCGGGTGTAGATTGGGCCCCCTGATTTCTGATGATGTAGCTCTCTCATAAAGAAGCCAGTTCAGTGAACAACCTGCTGACCCAGCATGGTTTCAGCGGTCAGAGCGATACTGCCCCCAGGGCTGGTGCTCCCATGTCTCTGGGGCTCAGGGACTCTGGCCTCAGAGTCCTCGGAATTCCCAGGCTCGGTGACTGATTGTGTATTGCTGCCACAGTGTGCTGCCAGGTAAATTTTCCTGGAAAGGGTGGAGTCTTTTGGTAGGATGAAGCGAGGGATTTGCCAGTCCAGAAGAACTTTCTCCGCTGGGTGGAAGGGAAGCCAGAAGAGTCCAGCAGAGCTTCATAGTCATCTCACATGTTCCCATCCTTCCTGTTTGCCGTTTTACAAGGGAGGGAAAACCTTAAATATTTAAATAGGAAAAATATCTACATTTTGAAATTTTTATTTTAAATGAATAGTTGAAAAAATACACATAAGGTCCACTTAATTTTTTTTAAATAAAAGCAAAGAGATTTAAAACATTTCTAATGTTTACACAGAATGCCAAATAGTGTCTTTAAGTTCAGCTGGCTGTAGAAACCAAAACCACGTTGATCTTGGGATTCTGTAAGCCTGGTTTCCCTTTAGGGGTATACTTTGTGCCAGGCCCTAAGAAAAAAAGGTGAAAGATGGGTTCCTGCCATCGAGGGTCTTCTGACCTGGTGGGGAGAATGATCTACACATGGAGAATCTCAATATAAACAGTTTTTTCAATGGCACAGAGATGGACAACATGGTCCAGGAGCACACATGAAGGGGGCTGAGCATACCTACTCCAGGGACTTTGAGTAAAGTTTCTTTAAGAATGTGGATGGAGAGAAAGGGCTGCTGGGCTGAGAGCCTTGAACCTTTCCCCAGGGGTTTTGCCGGGGGTCTGTGTGCACCCTTAGGCCTGCTAGGCAGCCCTTCAGGGGGCTCCACTATTGATTTCGGGGAGTGAATGGTGCTTGCTTCCTTCTCTTCCTTAGTTAATGGAATGTCATTCCACGATACCGCAGTGTTTGAATCCTTGTCACCATCACTCTCCACCCTTAGCTATCTCCAGTAAACTGAAGATGCTGGGGGATCCGGAAACACCTTATCCCTCAGAGTAGGATGAAAGGAGCATTGTCTTATTGGAACCTAATCTCATGGACACTTTCTTGAAAAAATAATCTTCAGAAAAATTCACTGGATTTCAAAGGCTGTTTCCCCATCTCTCTCTTTCAGTGCCCGAAGTGACGAAACCAAGTTTAAGCCAACCAACGGCCGCCAGCCCGATTGGCAGCTCTCCATCGCCACCAGTCAATGGTGGCAACAATGCCAAAAGGGTGGCAGTGCCGAACGGACAGCCGCCCAGCGCCGCCCGCTACATGCCTCGGGAGGTGCCGCCTCGGTTCCGTTGCCAGCAGGACCACAAAGTGTTACTGAAACGTGGGCAGCCCCCTCCACCGTCCTGCATGCTCCTCGGGGGCGGGGCAGGGCCTCCTCCCTCCACGGCGCCCGGAGCAAACCCCAACAACGCACAAGTGACAGGAGCGCTGCTGCAGAGCGAGGGTGGGGCCGCACCAGGTGAGCGCGCCACTGGCCGGCGAACAGGGGCGAGGGGGGCGGGGCGGTTGCAGGGAGCCAGCGCATCACTCTGTGTTGCCAGTCTAAAGTCCGCAAGAAGCGTTGATTATGTAGACTGAGTTTAGTTAGTGTTAGTCACTCAGTTGTGTCCGACTCTTTGTGACCCCATGGACTATAACCTGCCAGGCTCCTCTGTCCGTGGGATTCTCCAGGCAAGAATACTGGAGTGGGTGACGATTCTTGTAGACTCTTGGAGTTATTCAGAAGATGGAGGAGGAGCCCAGTGTGCGATGTGTACCAGCATTTCTCTCCTGAAACTGGGTTTCAGTGTCTGGCGAGTGTCTTCTTGGCCTGCTGCTCTTTGTCCACATTCTTCGTTGCCTTTTTTCCCTCCTCAGACTAGAGCATTACAATTCAAGCCCCCATCGCCCCAGGTGCCTCTTCAAGTGTGGGGCGACTGGAAGTGAGGCTAGTGCAGAGGCTGGTTCTGAATCTCAAGACATGCATGTTTATGTTCCTGGAAATCTGGGAACGGAGAGAGAATGGTCTCTTAGATTATAATGCAGAACTTTGGGAGAATTACACATAATACCATCCTATTAGTAGATTTGTAAGATCAATGTTTCTTTATAGAGAGCCCTGGATTTTGAGCTCTGTTAAAAATTGTATGTATGTATAAGAAATCTTTACCTGAAGGACTCTGCTGGAAGTTTTGAGAGTTTTTAATAGATGAATGCTAAACAGCCAGCAGCCAAGAACTTCCAAATATCATCCCCCATTTTTTAAAAACTTATCAAAAGATTTCCACTTATTCTTCAAATGTTTTTTTGAGATCATACTCAAATTCAGAGCTTGAAGACCATCAAGTGTTGGCAAGGACAATGAATTGGTGGTTGTTAATGGTAGGATGCTTTATTCTAGTTCTGATTTGAACATAGAATTGCCTAGAGAATTTTTTTTTTAACCATCTTATGTGCAAAGTAAAGATGGAGAGAAAGCTGGCAGTGACATAGGCCTTCATACAGAGACAAGTCCTGTTCATGAGGCTTCCTTTGGAAGCTGTCAGGATAGGCCCAGCCCAGACAGAGAAAGGCTTCCTGGCCCCTTGTCACCAGCTGCAAAGGGAAGTGTGAGGGGGTGTTTGTGTCGGGCACTTTAGCTGCTGAGTCTCGCCAGGCCTGGACGTAGACGTGGGTCTAGCATGAGTCACTCTCCTGTTTACATTCTTAAAACCAAGGAGGCCCCTGATCTCAAGAGTTTGAGATTCTCTGCTTCCTTACTTTTATATGGCGCTATGTAATATTTTTTTTTGAACTTCATATTGATTTAAAGCTGTTTGGTTAAAAAGAACTGAAATAAGTTTAGAGGAAATTATTGGTCTTAAAAACAGGTCATTCCCCCTCCCTCCCGTGCCAATGAAATATGCTCTGAGCCAGACTCTTTTTATCAAGTTCCTTGGGCATACAAACTGATTCATGCTTCTCTGCCCTGGCATCTAGCTGGGTGGGCATTCAGCATTCAGCAGCTGCTTACTGAGCAGCAGTGCCCTGGCTGCCACATGGGATTTAAACGTTAGCAAGATAGGTCTCTGCCTGGAGGGCATTCATGTGAGTGAAGGAAGAGGTGAATGCAGTACACAGAGCAAACAGCTCCAGACAGAGAAAGGCTGTGTTCAGGTGGCGAGCTCAGGAAAACTTCATGGAAGAAGTGGCACTTGAACTAGGCCCATAAAGATGGATAGATTTCAGTGTGTGAATTCCGAAGGAAAAAACAACAGGTGCCCATGAGGAATGCAGCCAGGGTGAGAAGGCACAGTTTGTAGTGTGTGGGCGTCGTCAGAGGAAGAAGGGGAAGGAGAAAATGGAAGAGTCAGTGGGTCGCAGGTTGTGGAGCATCTTCATCAGACCTCAGGCCCAAGAGTTTAGCTTTATTCTTATGCACTACGAAACTCTCCACGCCTTTCCATAGAGCAGTGATGCAGTCAAAGGTGTGCTCTATTAATACTGGGGGTGTTTAGAGTGGGTTGCAGCTGTAAAGCGAGGATGGGCTATTAACTGCATTGTCTCAAGATATGGGAAGTCCGTTCTCTGTCCCTGGAAGTAGCATGAGGATAGCCTTGAGAGGTGCTGTGGGGGTAGGATTTAGCAAATACACCAACCAGGCAAAACAGAAGAGACGACTAAGATGGGTATGATGCAGTTAAGCAAGGAAGGCAGTGGGTAGAGAACTAGTTTGTGGGGAAGTGATGAGCTCGCTTTGGGGGTGGTTTGAGCTCAAGGTGTTGAGAGATGATGCATGTGCCGCTGTGATTAATGAGACCATCTCTTTTCTCAGAGTCAACCCTTGGAGGTGCTGCTGCTTCAAATTATGCAAATTCCACTTGGGGCTCGGGAGCCTCCTCCAACAGCAGCGCCTCCCCCAACCCCATTCACATCTGGGACAAGGTGATTGTAGACGGGTCTGACATGGAAGAGTGGCCTTGCATTGCCAGCAAAGACACTGAGTCTTCTTCCGAAAACACCACCGATAACAACAGTGCCTCGAACCCTGGCTCTGAGAAGAGCACTCTGCCAGGAAGCACCACTAGTAACAAAGGAAAAGGGAGCCAGTGCCAGTCTGCAAGTTCCGGGAACGAATGTAATCTTGGGGTCTGGAAATCTGACCCTAAGGCTAAATCTGTTCAATCTTCCAACTCTACTACGGAGAGCAACAATGGACTAGGAAACTGGAGGAATGTGAGTGGTCAGGAGAGAATTGGACCTGGCTCTGGCTTCAGCAACTTTAACCCAAATAGCAACCCGTCTGCCTGGCCAGCGCTGGTCCAAGAAGGAAATTCTAGGAAAGGGGCATTGGAAACGGAGACTAGTAATTCCAGTGCGCAGGTTAGCACAGTAGGTCAGGCATCCAGGGAACAGCAGTCAAAGATGGAAAATGCGGGTGTTAATTTTGTTGTCTCTGGCAGAGAGCAGGCTCAAATTCATAACACTGATGGACCAAAAAATGGAAACACTAACTCCTTGAACTCAAGTTCACCAAACCCCATGGAGAATAAGGGAATGCCCTTTGGAATGGGCTTGGGGAACGCCTCCAGGAGCACTGATGCCCCTTCACAAAGCACTGGAGATCGAAAGACTGGGAGTGTTGGATCTTGGGGTGCAGCTAGGGGGCCTTCTGGAACTGACACAGCCTCTGGACAAAGCAATTCTGGAAACAATGGGAACAATGGAAAGGAGAGAGAGGACTCCTGGAAAGGAGCTCCTGTTCAGAAATCAACCGGGTCAAAAAATGACTCTTGGGACAACAATAACAGGTCTACGGGTGGGTCCTGGAACTTTGGCCCTCAGGACTCTGATGACAGCAAGTGGGGTGAAGGGAACAAAATGACATCCGGGGTCTCTCAGGGAGAATGGAAACAGCCGACTGGGTCTGATGAGTTGAAAATTGGAGAATGGAGTGGTCCAAACCAACCAAATTCTAGCACTGGAGCATGGGACAATCAGAAGGGCCACCCCCTCCCTGAAAACCAAGGCGGTGCCCAGGCTCCCTGTTGGGGAAGATCTTCCAGCTCCACGGGAAGTGAAGTTGGAGGTCAGAGCACTGGAAGCAACCACAAAGCAGGAAGCAGCGACAGTCACAGTTCTGGCCGCCGGTCGTACCGGCCCACACATCCCGACTGTCAGGCTGTCTTGCAGACTCTTTTGAGCCGAACTGATTTGGACCCCAGGGTGCTCTCAAACACTGGCTGGGGCCAAACTCAAATTAAGCAGGACACAGTGTGGGACATTGAAGAGGTGCCAAGGCCCGAGGGGAAATCTGACAAAGGAACTGAGGGGTGGGAGAGCGCTGCCACACAGACCAAGAACTCAGGGGGCTGGGGAGACGCACCCAGCCAAAGCAATCAAATGAAGTCTGGATGGGGAGAGCTCTCAGCCTCTACAGAGTGGAAAGACCCCAAGAACACAGGAGGCTGGAACGACTATAAGAACAACAACTCTTCCAACTGGGGAGGAGGACGCCCGGACGAGAAGACATCTTCCTCTTGGAATGAGAACTCCAACAAGGATCAGGGGTGGGGAGGTGGACGCCAGCCCAACCAAGGATGGACTTCTGGAAAGAATGGTTGGGGAGAGGAGGTCGATCAGGCAAAAACCAGCAATTGGGAAAATGCTGCGAATAAACCTGTGTCTGGGTGGGGCGAAGGTGGGCAGAGTGAAATTGGGACTTGGGGGAGCGGTGGGAACACAAGCCTGGCTTCCAAAGGCGGGTGGGAAGATTGCAAAAGGTCTCCGGCGTGGACGGAGACAAGTAGACAGCCCAATTCCTGGAACAAACAGCACCAACAGCAGCAGCTACCACCACCGCAACCCGAGGCCTCTGGCTCCTGGGGAGGCCCAGCCCCACCACCTCCAGGCAACGGACGACCTTCCAATTCCAACTGGAGCAGTGGGCCGCAGCCAGTAACCCCCAAGGATGAGGAACCCAGCGGTTGGGAAGAGCCATCCCCGCAGTCGATCAGTCGGAAAATGGACATTGATGATGGCACTTCCGCGTGGGGAGACCCCAACAGTTATAACTACAAGAATGTGAATCTGTGGGATAAGAATTCCCAAGGGGGCCCAGCACCTCGAGAAGCAAACCTGCCTACCCCGATGACCGGCAAATCAGCATCAGGTAGGCGATGGCTTTTTCTTACAGGTTTTGGTGAAGAAAAGCAATCCTAAACCAAGGCATTTTTATTAAGAGGTATTTATTGAACTTAGCTTCGTTCTGAGACTCTTTCCTGCTTTAACTGTAGGCTGTTGTCAACAAAAGCTGTCTTTATATCAAACGTTGGTGACGACAAATGCTGGTGGTACATGGTAATGCTCTTTCTTGGTAAAAGGGAAAGGTGGCATCCCTGGGTTAGTCTTACCCCTATTTTATTTTTTATTTTTTTGGTAATTGTATTGGTCTGCAGAATTGGAAAGATTTAGATCTTGCCAAACAAACTCTGCTCTAGATTTAAAAATAAAGAATTAAAATAGGAGCAGAAATAGACCTAATTTCCATTCCTGTTCTGCCTGTGGACACGTCCTCTGTGTTGCTCTTTCCCCAGCAATGGGAAGCCGTCTGTGTTTGTTCTTGCAGAGACCATCAGAAAACACTAGAGCCAAGCTGGGATCTGGAAGGTTTCCATCACTTTCCAGATGATTTTTAACAGTTAACCTCTGGAAGTGGCATATTTCGTTATGGAGATTGTTGTTGTTCAGTCGCTAAGTTGTGTCTGACTCTTTGCGACCCCATGAACTGCAGCACGCCAGGCTTCCCTGTCTTTCACTTTCTCCCGAAGTTTGCTCAGATTCATGTCCATGAGTCACTGATGCTCCATGAGTCATTGATGATCCAACCATTTCATCCTCTGTCGCCCCCTTCTCCTTTTGCCCTCAGTCTTTCCCGCATCAGGTCTTTTCCACCGAGTCAGCTCTTCGCATCAGGTGGCCAAAGTATTCCATCACTTTACAGATGATTTTTAACAGTTAACCTCTGGAAGTGGAGCAGTTTGTCATGTGGAGATTATCTCATGATAATCAGTTGTCCAGAATTAAACTTTCTTCCCTCCTTCTTTGGATAAGAAACATCATGCCTCATAAATTAAAAATAGTGCTGATAAAAACTTATAAAGGGAGGCAGTTTTAAAATGTAGTGCTGGTGATGGTTCTTAGTTTAGCATTGGCAACTTGAATGCCCTTGTGTAAATCAGCGAGTTAAAGGGATGCACCCTTAATTTGTTTGGATTATTTGAGTTAAAATTAATCATAATAATTTTCCACTCTCCAAAGGAAGTCTATAATGCTCAGTGAATCCAGTTATGAAATGATTACTTTTAACTAGTTCTGTTATTTTTTTAATATTGAAAAGAAGACAAAAGAAGGAAATGAAGGTTTGCTTATTAATTCCCTATGTAGAACATGTAAAAAATTTTCTTCATGTAGTAAAAACCTTCAAACTATATAGAAAAGCAAAAGGTAATAAATAAAAGAATCTTGACCCTTAGAGTCTCTACTTGCAGGTTTTAGAACTTTGTGTGCCAGTCAGAAATTTTGTTCATACCGGTAGCAAAATACATCCTTTAAGCATTTTACACAGGGGGAATTGTACTATATACACTGTTCTTCACCATGCTTTTCTCATTATTCTTCAAAACTTTTCATGTTAACAAATACATTTCTGTCTTTCAGTTGCTTCGCATATAGTATTCACTTGATGGGCAACTCACGATTGGTCTGACTGGTCCCTTTTTCACAGATATTTGGGTTGTTTCCAAATGTTTTCTGACAGTGATGCCATGAGCATTGTTGTACATGTAATTTCATCTACTTTTACAAGTACATGTATGGTATAATTTCCTGGCAGTGGAATTACTCTAGCAAAAGTAAAAGTGACAGTGCCAGGTGTCCTCCATGTAGGTGGTATCCACATTTCTGTTTCCTCCCATAGAATTCAGGAGGTCCTGTTCCTCCTCCCTTCACCCCCACTGAATACTACAGTGTTCATAAATCATTCTTTGAGATGCGTGTCCTTTCTTTACAGTCTGGAGCAAAAGCACACCATCTGCTCCAGATAATGGTACTTCAGCTTGGGGTGAGCCAAACGAAAGCAGTCCTGGGTGGGGCGAGATGGATGACACTGGAGCGTCGACAACAGGCTGGGGGACTGCACCCTCCAATGCTCCAAATGCCATGAAACCTAGTAAGTATACGGCACTCTTTTTGAGGGAGTCTCTTAATTTTCAGAGTCACACATTTTGGGGAGGGCTGCTATTACATTATCACTTCAACGAGGTTCAGGACCTTGGATCTTTAGTGAATGGTTAGTAGCAAATGATGGGGACTTGGCTTGGCATATGTAAAAATGCTTACAGTGAACTGAAAGTCATAAGTTAGTATTATTGATTTCATTTTTAAAACATACTTACTTACTCAGCTATGCTGGGTCTTAGTTGCGGCACAAATGCTCTTCCTTGTGGCACGTGGGATCTTAGTTCCCCAACCAGGGATCAAACCAGGGCTCCCTGTATTGGGAGCATGAAGTCTTAGCCACTGGACCACCAGGGAAATCCCTCATTTTAACTTAAGTTTAATGTCTGGCCAGAACTGAAATTCTGATGTGCCTTTTTTCCCATAGTAAGTTAAATATTGCTCACTGTTATCTATTTTGCATTTCTATGCTCATGTTGGTATAAGTTAAAAAAAATAATTCCTGGCATTTAACATGGAACAAGGTCTCTGCTGCCCAGTGACTTCATCCTTCTGCTTCTTTCTTTCCCCTTTGTCTCTCTTTTCATACTCCCACCCACACAGGGACATTTAAGGTTTCTTGAACCCAACAAAGATTTCTTCATTTGAATTTTTTAAACAAAGCACGTCACACTTACTCATAATCACTGATTATCTAAGCTATACTTGATCCAGCTGGCAATGTATACTCACAGTAATTTGCAAAACTTCGTAAATGGATGCTGCAGAATGTCCCATTGGATGATCCTCAATTTAAAAATTTAATTTCAAGTGCCTGTTTTCACTTTTTTGTAGTTTTCTTAAGAAGTATTCCAACGTCTCTTTTCTACCATATTGCAGAGTTAAGGGATTGTGTTTTGATTAAAAAATGTGGTCAGACTGAATTCTCTGAATTGGATCAAGAATAAATTTCATTGTCAAGTTTATTTTATGATATTTATGATTCTAACCATACCACAGGATGGAGTATCATCTTAGCTCTCTGTATTCTGGAATCACTCTTGTGCCTGTGTAACTTGACTGCATTTTGAAAATGGCAGATCTCCTTCACTTCATAGAAATAGCTTGATAAAGAATTTGATCTTGTCCTTTCTTTCATTGTAAAATTGCTTCTATCATCATGGGAAATACCATTCTGTATACTTGGAATAGATCCTGAACACTGTTGAAAGGCGTAAACCAGACCCTTGGGCGCAAGGAGGCACTTTAACAGTACTTTGAAGATTTTTATGTGTCTTTTCCAACTTCGGGATCATCTTTCTTCCACCACAGAAATCACTTTTCTCCAGATTTATAAACGGCTTCTACTCACCGGGATCATCTATGTCCATAGCTAAAGCTGTAGTTACCTTTCCCCCTTCTCTGGGTAATTTGAACATGTAATAGTCAGGGGAGAGGGCTAGGTAGTCACAGCCTACTAATCAGTGCTCATGGTGATTTAACCTGTGATCTTGTCTAGACTGTAGATGCCTTAAATCTGGTGTGGACTCCATGACTTCGGTATTGGAGCTCTATTTTTTTAATCTCTCTACAGGAAATCATTTGTTAAAAGTGCAGCTCCTTTCTCTCGAAGAAGGGTTACATGGATGTCTTTCTTCTTTAAAAGGGTCAATATGTCACTTATGTTGGGTTTTTAATTCCTGTTGCTTGTCAGAGGATGTATAAAGCCTCTGCTTACGTAATAGTGGGTAACCTCCTATGCAGGAGAAATGGTCCTGGTTATCCAGAAGCGGGGAGAACAGTCCCCAGGCCCTGCTTCTTGCTGCTCAGTCACAGAGCCCATGCAAAGAGGGGCGCTTAGTGAACCCCATAGAGGGTTCATCCCAAGGTTCACTTGGGCGTTGCTGGGAGATGATGCCGCCGTCTGAGGAAATTGACTACCTAGCTCTCTACGTACTTGATTGGTGCCTGGATGGCATCATAGGCCTGGTCCCAGAACCTGGCAGCAGAAAGACCTGGGAAAGCCACTTTTCTGGCTCTAGACTCTTCGTGTGAAGCAATCTGAATCAAATAACTCCCTCCATAAATGTCTTGTCATTTTGTAAATTGGAGGTGTGGATGGAGCATCTGGACTGCCCAGATTCTGGCAAAGAGTCTGCCTGCAGTGTGGGAGACCTAGGTTCAATCCCTGGGTCGGGAAGATCCCCTGGAGAAGGGAATGGCTACCCACTCCAGTAATCTTGCCTGGAGAATCCCATGGAGAGTGGAGCCCAGCTTGTTACAGTCTATGGGGTCGCGAAGAGTCAGACACGGACTGAGCGATTAATGCTTTCATACCTTTTCATGGAGCTGCTAGGTGGGATAGTGTATTTCCTTTCTTCTATCATTACCAGAAAGTGTACCCATACAAAATTTTCAGAAAGAGATTAAGGATTTATCCCAATCTCTGAATTCAAGATCTTTGTTTAAGAGGAAATGTTGGTGGAATTAACTGGAGCCTGATGATGACCTACTTCCTTGAACAGTTGAGCACTGGTTTCCCTGTCTTTGTTCTCCCTTCCACGTTCTGCTCCTACATTTCCTCCTCCTGTCTTTTATTTTATTTATTTATTAAATATTTATTTGTTTATTTAGCTTGACCAGGTCTTAGTTACAGAATGTGAACTCTTATTTGTGGCATGTGGGATTTAATTTCCCAATCAGGGATCAAACCTAAGCCCCCTCCATTGGAATCATGTAGTCTAGCCACTGGACCACCAAGGAAAGTCCCTCCTCTGCCCGTCTTTAAAAGCCATTGCTTATACATTGTCTTTGTCTAGGATCTTTTTAGTATCCAGTACCTTTCAAGTGTGTAAATCTAGTAACTTTCAAATTTTCATGACTATTTGTGAATTTCTCTTCTTTCACTGTAATTTTGATATTCAAAATCTAGTACAGTTTTCTTTTTTCATCCATCTTGCATGTTCTTTTCTTCACCCCAAACAAGGTTGACAGTTGTTTTTTATCCTGCCTCATATTTGTAAAATCCGTTACAAAGTACACCACGTATTTCCTCTCAGGAGGGTAAAGCTAAGAAGTGCAGTACAACATTCTCATTAAGAGTAACAGATTTCTCTTAATATAAGTGTGAAATTTCTTGTTAAGTAAGTAGTGATAGGTTCTTTTCAGTTGGGGGATTTCTGTCTACACTGTGTGAGGGGAAAAAATCATTGAACTAGAAACCAGGAAATCTTGATTTGTGGTTTATGAATTTACTGTGTATCATTGACCCTTTTGGGGTTTCCATTCTGTCCTCTAAAGTTGGGAGAATATTTGCCTCGCCATACAGACCGATTCTGGATACAATCACAAATACACTAAAATGCTGTATTTACAAGGAATGACCATTGTGGGTTTTGTTCTATCGCCATTGCATACAGTTGGCTTGCTCTTTTCTTAAAGATTCCAAATCTATGCAAGATGGCTGGGGGGAGAATGACGGGCCAGTGGCAGGAACTCGCCATCCCAGCTGGGAAGAGGAGGATGATGGAGGAGTCTGGAACACTGCCGGCTCTCAGGGAAGCGCTTCCTCCCACAACTCAGCAAGCTGGGGACAAGGAGGAAAGAAACAAATGAAGGTAGGCCACGTTAGAAATATCTGAACTTGCTTATTCATTCTTAGAAGGCAGAACTGAGAATGTTTTGGTGGAAGAAGCCACGTAGCTGAAGTCCTTGCAGTCCTCAGTGATGGAGAAAATACTTTCTTCAGAACACATAACTGCTTCCTCTTTACCCCTCATCTTCCTTCCCTTGAAGTCTCAAACTACAAAATTCTCACTCTGGATAAGATGGAATTTTCAAAGAAACAAGATTTTTCTTTTCACTTCAATTTCCGTATTATAATAATTCTTTAGGAATTTTCAGGACACCCTTTATAAATGTTTTATGCTTTTGTGTTCTAAAGCCTGATCAGTCCTTAGAGTAGGTCCCCATGAATATGTATACGGGAAACCACAATAATATGGTTTCTCCAGCAACAATCAACATGACTCATTTTTGTCTGATTTGGGAAATTCCAAGGCCCAGAATCCTTTCTGAACAAAATGAGGTGCCAGTGCATAACCCTGCATTAGCAGCTAGGTGGTTTATCTCTGTCCTGTATCAGTTGTGTCCTACACTTTTTATTTTCTGGATTGTAGAGCAACTTAGTTTCTCTTTTGATTTTCATAGTTTAATGAGGACTTTGGTTTTTAATCTAGAACCTGAATGACTCTCAGTAGGAGCCCTCTTTTTTCATTCCAGCCTCTCATTCTACAAATACATTAAGGGAAAAAAAGTTGGGCAGCCATGTGTGTTATTTCAGCACGGGAGCCTTGCTGCTCTAAGAAACACTTTGTAACTAAAATTCCTGGTTTTCAGGTACTGGACACCATTTTAGAAGGTCTTCAGTTGACCAAGGGGCTGAACCTTCATCCCCTTCTCCTATGGGATTTTTGTTCTGAATACCATTGCTTTCTTTTATAGCCTGAGAATGCAGGTTGTTTCTGTTAGAAACGTTTTGTTTAAGCAGTCATTTATAGTTTTCCCCCATAAAGGACTTTTATTTTCTTACTTCAGTCACAAATAAAATTATTCAGTGAACTTTCTAACATTTTTAATACATTTGCATTGTCTAGTCTTCTGTGTCTTTCTTTTTATTATTTACAAATTAATAATGAGACCGGATTCTAGGAAGACTGCTGAGGAAGCAACCAAGTGAAAGGTACTAGCCCACTCAGGGAACCACCAAGATTCAGTGAGTTTAACTGGGAATTACCTGTTTCTGTTCCAAGACTGATGATTCTGACCTTTCTTACAGTGTGTGTGTGTGCACGCACGCATGCGTATATTCCAGTACAGCTGACGTAAAATTGACTATCTTAACCAATTATAAGTGTACAGTTCAGCAGCATTAAGTGCATTCACATGGTGATGCTGTCATCACTGACATCTGTCCACAAAGCCCTTCTCATCTTGCCAACTGAAACTTTGTACCCATTAAACAGTAACTACCCCTCCTCCCTCCAGGGAGGGCTTTTTTGACCTTTAAACCTGTAGAGGTACCTTAACACTCTCAAAAATAAAATTGACATGAGCAGTAGCATCAGAACACACAGAACTTTTACCTGGAAAATGCACACGTACACAAAGGCACATCATCTCCAGCCCCCACCAGGTTCCCATCGTAGTTCCACTCACCTTCTCCGTAGAAATAAAAGTGGAGCTGATGATTGGTTCCTTATTGAGCAGAGAAGTTAGTTTGTCCCCTGAAGAAACAAACAAAACCCACACCTGCCTGCCTTTGCAGTAAAATTGGTGATGGTGTCTTCTGCTGACTTCTTTCCACTTTGCACAGAGCCCAGTGTCCTTTATATTCTGAAACAAGCAGATGAAAGTGCTGTGTGGATGAGCTTCTCCTTATATCCACACAGAGAGTAATGACCAGTTTAAACAGGCTCCTTTCCAAATAACATGCACTGGCATCAAACTTTTTCTTGACTCCTAATAGAAACTGGCTTGGGTTACAAGGAGGAAGTGAGAGGGAAAGTACTAGCATGCAAGCTTTATATTTTAGAAAATCTGATGTTGACCCTTTATAGGGTGAAAGCCCTAGCTGACCATTTATTTTTCTAGTTACTTCTAACTCAGTGCAACGAATAGAACAAGAATGAAAACATTGATGTAACTAAGGCCTATCACTTTTTTAGACTAACAGATCTATCAAAATAACTATAGTTAAAGAGAAATAGTTATGGTTGAAAAAGGTAAACTCTTGGTTTTACGTTTTTCATCAGTACTTATGCAACTCAGTAAGTTGAAATCAACTATTTGATTCTGAGGTTACATATTTCATTTCTGTAGTGCTCACTCAAAGGAGGAAACAATGATTCATGGATGAATCCTCTTGCCAAACAGTTTTCAAATATGGGATTGCTGGTAAGTTTTTTTTTTTTTTTAATAGGTGTACTATATCCCAACTTTTACATTTAGTACAAATTTTAAGACCACTGCCATATATAGTACAAAATGACAGACTTAGAAACTGGTTACGCAATGTTCCTGATTTGGATGAGGCAATGTTTGTTCTCTATTCCTTTTTTCTTAATGAAATAGTCCAGTATTTAAAGGTTACAGCTTTTAAACGTGTAGCCTTTGTATCCTTTCTTTAGAAGGTTAGGGAAGAAAGAGCCAAGGACTTAAAAATGTATTTAACTTTTGCTGACTACTGTACCAGCTTTAATATTATAATAAAAAAAAAAAAACCTAGCCATAGCAGAATGACTAGGGAAACTATTTGTGATTAATTATATAGACAATTTTTGTAGAACTTCAGTTTTTTGGTCTTTGGGGAGCAATGTGGGGACACCCTGTCCCTGGGTGCCAAAAGACAGATGACTTGGCTGCACAGTGCAAGACTTGATGACTTGACAAGTCACGAGAAGACGTTGTCATCATTTGGCTCCACTCAGGAAATTTAATCCTGAGCCGGCTGGAACTTGAGGACAGGGGTGTGTTTCTCCAAGCAGCTGTTTAGCTATCACTGTGTCCATAGATTTACTGAAGCCAATCTGATGTGAAAACTGAATTTAAGAATAGAGGCAGCAGCGGCAGTCAGAATTACTCTCATGAAAACTGTTACTGTCTTCATTCCAGTTGAAGGTTCATTTCCAAGGACCTGGTATAGTCCTAGATGTAAAGTAAGAGTAAGGTGTGGTTCATGCATGAATAACACTGTTTCTTCTCTAAGTGTGTTTAATTCCAGACTTTAATCTTCCTCACTGTTCTTTTATTTTTTTTCAGAGTCAAACTGAAGATAACCCAAGTAGCAAAATGGATTTGTCTGTAGGTGTGTATCCCCCCACGGTTGTTGTTGTTTGTGATCCTTTGTTGGGATCCCTGCTCACTTTGAATTGGGATGGGTGCGGTTCCTAGACTCACATTCCACACTTGCTCTATGGAAGGCACTAGGTAGGGATTGAAAACTAATGACGACAAGAACCAAGAAGTGTAAGTGAGTGGTGTGTGCCAGGCATGAACAGTTGAGGCTTGAAAGCCACTGATTCACTGTGGAGAACCTGTGTACCACAGAAAGGAGTCGGCCTCCGCTCAGTTCTTGGCACTTGTTGCCATGGATGAGTGTATGCTCAGCTTTGCCAGATCCTTCACTGTTCTCAAGAGAGGCCAGAAGTTCTTATATACTTTTAGTTTTAAATATTGAGAACCAATCCAGATTTAAAAGAAAAAAAAGTTGTGGCCAAACACATGCTGTCTGTGACCCTGCCAGAATCACTGTCAGGTGGCCAGGCCTGTCTGCACCAAGATGTCACCAGTTCAGTCAGTTCAGCTCAGTCGTGTCCGACCCTTTGCAACCCCTTGGACTGCAGCATGCCAGGCTTCCCTGTCCATCACCAACTCCCAGAGCTTACTCAAACTCGGGTCCATCAAGTCAGTGATGCCATCCAACCATCTCATCCTCTGTCATCCCCTTCACCTCCTACCTTCAATTTTTCCCAGCATCAGGGTCTTTCCCATTGAGTCAGTTCTTCACATCAGGTGGCCAAAGTATTGGAGTTTCCGCTTCAGCATCAGTCCTTCCAATGAACATTCAGGACTGATCTCCTTTAGGATGGACTGGTTGGATCTCTGCAGTCCGGAGAACTCTCAAGAGTCTTCTCCAACACCATAGTTCAAAAGCATCAGTTCTTCGGCACTCAGCCTTCTTTATAGTCCAACTCTCACATCCATACGTGACCATTGAAAAAACCACAGCCTTGACTAGACGGACCTTTGTTGGCAAAGTAATGTCTCTGCTTTTTAATATGCTGTCTAGGTTGGTCATAACTTTTCTTCCAAGGAGCAAGTGTCTTTTAATTTCATGGCTGCAGTCACCATCTGCAGTGATTCTGGAGCCCCCAAAAATAAAGTCTGCCACTGTTTCCATTGTTTCCCCATCTATTTGCCATGAAGTGATGGGACCAGATGCCATGATCTTAGTTTTCTGAAAGTTGAATTTTAAGCCAACTTTTCCACTCTCCTCTTTCACTTTCATCAAGAGGCTCTTTAGTTCTTTTTTGCTTTCTGCCATAAAAGTGGTGTCATCTGCATATCTGAGGTTATTGATATTTCTGGCAGTCTTGATTCCAGCTTGTGCTTCATCCAGCCCAGTGTTTCTCATGATGTACTCTCCATATAAGTTAAATAAGCAGGGTAACAATATACAGCCATGACATACTCCTTTCCTGATTTGGAAGTAGTCTGTTCCATGTCCAGTTCTAACCGGTACTTCTTGACCTGCAGACGGATTTCTCAGGAGGCAGGTCAGGTGGTCTGGTATTCCCATCTCTTTAAGAATGTTCCACAGTCTGTTGTGATCCACACAGTCAGAGGCTTTGGTGTAGTCAATAAAGCAGAAGCAAATGTTTTTCTGGAACTCTCTTGCTTTTTCAATGATCCAGTGGATCATAGAAAGGCAATTCTGCCTTTTCTAAATCCAGCTTGAACATCTGGAAGTTCACGGTTCATGTATTGTTGAAGCCTGGCTTGAAGAAGTTTGAGCATTACTTTGTTAGCGTGTGAAAGTGAAAGTTGCTCAGTTGTGTCCGACTCTTTGCATCCCCATGGACTATAGAGTCCATGGAATTCTCCAGGCTAGAATGCTGGAGTAGGTAGCCTTTCCCTTCTCCAGGGGATTTTCTCAACCCAGGGATTGAACTCAGGTCTCCCACATTTCAGGCAGTTTCTTTACCAGCTGAGCCACAATGGAAGCCCTTGCTAACGTGTGAGATGAGTGCAGTCGTGCCATAGTTTGAACATTCTTTGGTGTTGCTTTTCTTTGGAATTAGAATGAAAGCTGACCTTTTCCAGTCCTGTGGTTACTGCTGTGTTTTCCAATTTGCTGGCATATTGAGTCATATTAGGGACCAACTGCCCTTTACAGGTAGAGCAGGTGCAACATCAGCCCTTCATCTGGGGGCTCTTCTCAGTGATGCTGTTGCTCACCTGGAGGAGCTTAAGAAAGAATCAAATCTGGAAGAAAAGAAAATTCCTGGGAGATTAAAAAAAATAGCCTGTGATCTGTGATATTCTTAAATAGAATAACTTAAAAATGAGTTTCGTGCCACTGTACAACAGCAAATTCATAGACATGTGGAAGAAAGTGGAATAGTCATTGCATCTGGAAGATGACATTGTACCAGTAACCATCTCCCGTGTTCAACTCAAGAGTTCTAAATTTTAGGGTAACAACCATGCCTGTTTGCTGTTTGTAGTCCTAATAATTACATTTCACAACTGAAACTATTTGTCTTAACAGATGCTAAAAAAGCAACAAGACGCACATCCTCTCACTGAGGAGGTTTGAATATAAAAGCAAGATATATTCATCAAGCATGTCAATAACTAGTTTAAATATCTTTTTAGTTAGATTTTGACTAGGTTAGCCCTAAGACTCTTTCAGTCTTCCATAGAAAATGAGTTTCAGCTGATATATGTTGGGGGTTTTAGAGAGATTGTTTGTTTTGTTCTTAAAGCATCCTTGTATGTTTCAGGGAGGACCATCAGCAGCCTGAAGAGTGAGAACTCTTGTCTATACCTGTACCCCACAGAGGGTAGTGGGACAGGTTACTCTTGGTCATGAGGGAGACATTGATGGTTAACATTTTCATTCTTTCTGTGTTACTTTTCAGGGAGCCTTCCAGATAAAAAATTCGATGTGGATAAGCGAGCAATGAATCTCGGGGATTTTAATGATATCATGAGGAAGGATCGATCTGGGTTCCGTCCACCTAATTCCAAAGACATGGGAACCACAGATAGTGGGCCTTATTTTGAGAAGGTGAGTTGAATCCTTGGTTTAAGATAATAATTCATGAGAACCACTTTAGTTCCCATTTGTCTTTTGATAGTTAATTCCAGAAGGAAGCATTGAATTACTGAACTGAGTGAAAAAAAAAACACCAAGCATCACCTGCATTTGAACGGTGACATGAAAATAGTTGATATTGACAGGTGATTAGGCAGCACTGTCTTTAGAATGTGAGTATTGTGAACAAGGTCTAAGTTTTGGGGTATTTATGAAGTTTGGAGGGGGGTGTGGTCTGACCGTAGGGGAAATGCACACTGAAAACATGTAGAAGAAATTCTAGAGACAGAGTTATCCTGAGTTCTTTTTTCCGCTACTGTGCAATTACAAATTAAATTTTTGAATCTTGTGCAAATACCCTATGTCTCCTAAGGCCTTGCCTTTTAGCTTTGTCAAGATGACCGAAAACTTTCTCCTTTGCTATTTCTAAAAAAACTCTGTTGTCTTCTTTTTCCATTTCCTTAATGATCTGTTTTTAGTTACGATGGTGTCTTGTTCAAATTCTCAACTACCTGCTTTAAACAAGTCATTTATACCTATCTGTTGGGATTTTTAACATTTCTAATGGAGGAGGTCATTACTTGTTTCAGAATACCAACTTGCAATAGTGCTGGTCTTCAGAAGGCAGTTAAAACCAAAATTTGTAGATTTGACACGTTTTTGACACCACTGATGCTGGTCCAGACAGCAAACATATTCACAAGAAGATGACTTTGGCTTCTGTTTCAGCAGCCACATAGTTACAGTCATCAATATTAGATCCCTGAAACTGAAATGTCTGGCAATTTTTATCATAGTGCAATGGACAGAATGTGTTACTAACTTAGAGGATATGAATCTATAGCAGAGAGGATGGCAGATGGTGTCTGTTGGGCAAAGTATGATGGTGATGATCAGATCCAAATTCTATCCTCGTTTACTGCTAATACACTCTAACTTTGTTCCTGGTGTCTCTCTTTTCCCTTCTTGCATTCTGTTGCTTCACTAACCAACACTCATTGCGATTGGCTAACTGCTACTACTTTTCAGCTGACTTTGCCTTTCTCCAATCAAGATGGGTGCCTTGGGGATGAGGCTCCCTGCTCTCCTTTCTCCCCTTCTCCCAGCTACAAGCTGTCTCCCTCTGGTTCCACACTACCCAACGTCAGCCTTGGAGCAATCGGCACAGGGCTCAACCCCCAAAACTTCGCTGCTAGACAAGTAAGGAGGCCTCTCAAATTTATAACTGCTTGGCTGTGGCCTCGCCTTGGCCCTGGTCTGCAGTTTATTGCATCATTTGTCTGTCTTGGGAAATTTGTTGATTACTGAATGCACAGAATGATATTAAGTCTAGGCTTTTTATTTAGCTCTTTCAGCCCATAGAACCCATCTCTCTTCATGTTTCTCAACATGGATTTTATTTTAAATCTGTTTCTTTTGTCTTCCCATTTTTGGTCATAAGTTCACACTTCATAAGTTAGTGAGTTGCTAGCTTAGGAAAATGTTAAAGAGGCTGTACAGGTACCTTCTATCTAATTTAGCAACATATTTGCCATTTTGAACATTAGATTGAATGGCAAATACTACCTTTGATGTCATTTCAATCTAATATAATTGCTAATTAAAAAATAGCACCAAAACTAATAAGATTAAATATTTGCGGGTTATGGCAGCTTAGAAATCCAGTGTCTTCAGGTATAAAATTGCTTAGGCAGAGGTAATTTATGTCTCACATAATGAAGCTTTGAGAAGACCACATCCTGCCCAGTGTTTGATTCAGGCTACAGCAGCACCTTTCCTCAGATTAGATCTGCTAGTCCTCCAAGGAAGGGCTGTGCAGTAGAGCCACCTTGCTTTTGCAGGCTTGAGCGGATGCAGCCGACCTCTGTCTGACCTTGCAGTAGCTCTGTTGTAGTTTTTGTGAAGAAAACCAGAAATCTAGAGGCAATTCTTTTGCAACAGTGGCTCCAGCAGTATTTTCCTAGCCTTATTTCCATGACTACTTACTTGCCCTTCTGGCCTTCACCTCTGGATATCATGGAAAGACATTTAATTATCAGTTGTAGCCATTCTGTTTTCCCATGATGACTTTCACATATAGATGAAAAGCTGATATAAAACACGTCTTACTCCGTAGTCCTCAAACTGCATGTAGATCTTTCATACGCTGATTGTTGCCTTAGCACATTTTGAAAAATGATCATATTATGTCCATGTGTTCAAATTGGTTAACTCTGGGTTGGGAGTTACAGGTAAATTTTTGTTTTCTTCCTTTATATTTCACTCTTTTTCTTAACATTTCCACAGAGGACGTGGCTCTGTATTGCTTATCTAAATAGAAAGAAACAGTTACATCAGTTTTGGTGGAGAGGAGGGCTCTTTGGGTTGAGGTATAGAAAATATAACATAGTCTTCACACTCCTGGTGAATGGTGATTATAAATATACTCCCAGGACCACCTGATTATCAGATACTTTTAGTATATAAACTTTAAATGACCAAACTCGCTGTGCACTGGACTCTTAAAAAAGATCGTTCATCTTCAGTTTTTTATCTCTGGATTGCCACAAAGTCCATTGTAAACCACGTTGATATATACATGTTCTATCCAAGTAAGGTTATGGTTTTTTCACTCTGTTTTCATGAAGAGTTAATATACGGCATAATTTGAAATTTAAGAGTTTGGTTCAAATCACAGAAGATTTTGATCAGCTTAATAACCTTGTTTTTAATTTTTTTACCTAAGTTAAACACTGTAGTTGGGGCAAATATCACCAATAATTATTAGGTTCAGGTCATCATAAAAGTCTCACACACAGCAGTGAACTTTTAGAAGTATATATATATATTATATAAAGCTTTTGATGCCAGGTTTCCCAATCTCGAAATATAGTTTTTAAAAAGAGTAAATTTGTATGATTACCATTCAATACATTACTGTGCAAAATAGCTACTTCTGAGCCAAGAAGATGACCAACTTATGATGCCAAGGTTCCATATTGAAAAATGGTCCAACGCTTCACTTTGTGCAGAAACATGGGCCTCATGTTGCCAGACATTGTTTCTTTTCTAGAGGTACTGGAAATAAATTGATTAAAAAAAGAGAGAGAGAAGGTGGGAGTTTCTTGGTGGCCTAGTGGTTAGAATTCCAGGCTTTCACGATCGCCTGGGTTCAACCCCTGGTTAGGGAACTGAGATCACACAAGCCGTGTGGCACCCCTGCCTCAAAAAAGGAAGATTTAACAGTTAGTAATGAATAAAAATGATCTAAAAAGGGTTTTATTTTTAAAGAGAGAGAGAAGGTATTTTTTTGTATAAACTTACGTTGACTTAACCTTCGTTATTATCCATCAGAGTGCTTGGTGTGGCTTATGAGACACTTGATCATGAAAACCTAAAACCTTTGGTGGGAGTAGAATGGGCTCTTTCTACTTGGAATAGGAAAGTAGGAATTGATTTTACAAAAACTAAAACATCTAATATCTCTTACCAGAAAGAGGTTGAGATTTAAGATAACCCCTACAAAGCAGGTTGGGAGCCTTACAAAACATGGGTCTGGGGTTTAGCTGTCAGAAACCCCACCATCCAAGGACCCTCCCTTCCATGAATAATTGACATCTATTAACTAGGTCATTATTTGATAGTAAAGTGTAAGAATCATCTTAGTAGAATAGTCTTAGCAAAATAAGTGTTTCCTATTTTCCTGGGAATGGTTAGTATTATAGGAGCTAAGCTCCTGAGTGCTGCTGCTGCTAAGTCACTTCAGTCGTGTCCGACTCTGTGCGACCCCATAGACGGCAGCCCACTAGGCTCCGCTGTCCCTGGGATTCTCCAGCAAGAACACTGGAGTGGATTGCCATTTCCTTCTCCAGTGCGTGAAAGTGAAGTCGCTCAGTCATGTCTGACTCTTCACAACCCCATGGACTGCAGCCTACCAGTCTCCTCCGTCCATGGGATTTTCCAGGCAAGAGTACTGGAGTGGGTTGCCATTGCCTGACTACTAGGGTCTCAGGAAAGTTAGAGCTGAGCCATTTCACCTCAGAGTGACAAATTTGATTAGTAAGACAGGAGAGGTGCAGATATTGAAGTTTCTAGAGCTAAAGGTCTTTTCATGTTTAAACAGTCCTTTGGGAGATTGAAAATTCATGATGAACCTTCGAGTTTCTTTTATGAGATATACATAGATTTTAATTGCCATTTCTATTTTATGTTCATAGTCATTTTTATTTTCAATGCTTTTAAGTTCATTAATTTCCCTGAAGCAATCCCTTAACCTGTTTTGAATCATTAAGCCATCAAAATATCTTTAGTGCTCTAGAACTTAATGATGCCATTATAAAATTCTTCTGTAAAACTACCTAAATCCCCACAATTACAGGGATAAGAATGGTGGTGGTGACCTCAGCTCAGAGCCCACAGACTTGGTATAAGCAGTGGTGCAGCCGTCTTCACCAATGGTGTTGGGTGGGATGTTCGTTTTCAAGTGTGTGAAATTGGTGGGTCGTGGATGTTTGCAAATGATGCACTCATCCTACAGACCAGGGCTTGATTGAGTTTCTGGGAATACAAAGAGGGAAATTTGAAGCTGCTGGTGGAAGGACAGGGTGGACGATAACTATAATATGATTTGATGGTGGAGCCTGTCAAAGAGTTTTCAAGTGTTTTGAAAACAGAGGTGGGCTCAATGAACTTGAATGTAAAATGAGGAAAAAGGTCTGGGGGAAGATATTCTTGATGAGGATGACCTCTGAGCTGGCACTTGCAGAGGCCGAGTGAAGATGGTGTAGAAAACTACATCAGGCAGGGGCAACACAGCATCAAGTCTTACTGAATATGGTTTCAAGGGCTATCATATATAGCCCCACTTTCTATAGCTCTCTGATTGGAACAGTCTTAGAAGTACCTCAGCGAGTTGATCCTCCAGAAATCAGGGACCTAAGGTTGTTTTTTTGTTTTTGACAGAGTTAAAACGTTTTTTTATACAGCCCTTCTTGTTTTTCTTTAACTGTTAGCTTTCAGAGATCAGGAAACAAAATATACTTCTGTCCCATTATCTCAATAGCCACATAATGGTCCATCTAATGAATGGCTGTAATTTTTGACTAGACTGATAGTCATATATTTGAATGAGAAGTCACAGGTGAGTAATACTTTGTGTGTCCCTGGAATGATTTTTCACTTTTTCCCTTTCTTCCTCTTTTATCTCACTCTAGGATTGATTTACATTTCCTCCTTTAGGACAGAAGGGACCAAGGAGACCTAAGACAGGGGAAGGGTGTTCAGATCAGGAGTAGGGTCCTCAGGGAGCCAGGCTCACAGTTGAGTGACACTGATTTTGTAATCAAACCAGCCAATTTAGAGAGGCTATATCATGGTATTTTTTTACAGCTGATATGATTCACAGTCCTGCAGTTTTTACTCAAGTGCCTTTCAAATTGGGTCTCAGATTCTATAGTTTGAGAATAAATTCTGTAAACCCAATCTTAAAAAAGTAGTTATATAAATGTTACACTGCCTTTACCTTTCAATAACAACAAATTAGTGCTTTTTCTAACATTTGACAAAGTTTTGACCCTTTTGGTTTGTATTAGACTACAGGGTGGTGATGATATACCCATGATTGAATTTGAATACTTATTCCGAGGTCAGGAACTTTCTTCAGTTACAACGTTCTGTGATTCCATGGAACACAGGATGCTGCTTCTGAGGGATAGGAAACCTGAACTGTTCTTATGTGCATTTCTTCCTCGTGTTAACAGAAAGCCTCACTGTCACTGTTCTGTTCACAGGGTGGCAATCACGGTTTGTTTGGAAATAGCACAGCACAATCGAGAGGCGTGCACACCCCCGTGCAGCCCCTGAATTCTTCTCCTAATCTCCGGGCACAAGTGCCTCCCCAGTTCATTTCCCCCCAGGTGCGTACCTTCATGGGTCCACAATTCAGAAGTCAAGTCCAGGTGGTTACCAGTTGTCAGCTGTCTGGTTTTGTGGGCATAAAGGAATAACAGTTACCCATCTAAAGTGAAAAATCCAGATGCCAAGGATCAAGATTTTTTAGAACAGGATGGCAAATCTTGTTTTTTGTCGTTGTTTTATCTTGCATACAAAGTAGATGTTTTTGCATGAAAAACATTATAATTCCTTTTAGATCACCTGTATGTTTTTCCAATACTATATTGATTTTTTAAATTTGTGTATGATTAAAACTACTCTATAAATTCTGATGCATCAATACCCAAAAGTTGGTTGCCCTCGAGGATTCAGGGAAGCGCCAGGTTCTGGGTTATTCTTAAAATTTTTCAGGGGACACATACTAAAATACCGACTGGGTTTAGAACTGGTGAGGTGGCAGAAACTCATTCACGGAGCAACTTCGCATAGGACAGAGTCCTTTGGGTACCATGGGAACCCTTTAGGGCCCTCCATTAGCAGGAGATGGTCAATGAGTTGTTCAGGGGTTTATAGGTGAGAGAATTATGCCAGTCTACCACATACTGCCCCTCATACCCCTTTGTGGGAAAAATAAAAGCTGAGAAGCTGGAGTAAGGATTCAGTGTGTGAATCAAGATTTAGAGCTTTGGGTCCACCCCGTCGTATAAAAGGGGTTAAGGTACTTACTAAATCCAGCTAACACATTGTGAAGGATAAGGTTCTGTTTGGGGTATTTTTTTTTTTTTTGATGTATCTTTTGAGAAAGAAGTTAAAAATATTTATTTGAAAAAAATATTTATTTGGAACCATAATTCGTAGATTTCGTATGTTACAAAACATTGAGTCTCTGTCCATCTTAGTAGAGAAGGAGTGTTGACTGTGCCCCCTGTTCCGTCTTCAGTCCTGTCTGGCAGTCCACTTTGGTCTCTCTCCTTCCCCTTCCCTCTCTCTCTGAGTTCATCCATCCTTCAAGTCCCCGGTAGACAGAGCTGTTCCTGACTTTCCCAGCACTTTACAGCAGCAGCATCTTGACTCTTAGAGCACTTGCCAGCATGCCTGGGTGTCAGGCCAGCAGTCGTCCGTGGTGAGCCAATGTCAGTTGCCTTTTGGCAGCGCCGAGATGAAGAGGAGGCCGTCTCTACCATGGCAGCCTCCTGGAGTTGGTGGTGATGGTGGCAGAATAGTTGGCAGATGGTGTGCTAATGTTGTATGGAAATGCTTAACAGGGTCGGGGAGCTGGGTGGGGCCTCACACTGGTAGTGGCATTGAAGCTGGGTCTTGAAGAATGAGTCAGTTCCCTGGGCATGGCCGGAGAAAAGGTGCCTCCCAGGAGACAGGAGTAGTTTATGTAGGGGCAGTAACATCTGGAAGAACATGGCCGTTGTGGGGAAGCACGGTTATCAGTTTGAGCTTGTGTAAGCAGAGGTGTGCTGCCTAGAGGGGAACAGGAAGGAGCTCGTCAGGAAGTTTGGGACTACAATTGGAACAGTTTTGTTTGCCTTGCTAAGGAGTTTGGACTTTGTCCTTTGGTCACCATGGTTGGTAATCATTATCTTGGCTGCTGTTTAAAAATAGTTTCTGGGTCTTCCTCCATCTACTGAGACACTGTGCCTTGGGACCTCATTACCCCCAGGTGATTTTTACCTGCTCACTAGAGTTTGGCTGCTCCTGCCAAAGACTGCCAAAGTATTAGGCAAGATAGCACAGTGATACAGAAGACATGTGTGAATGACAGAATCACTAGAGCAAAGGAGCTCAGTCACGAAGCTAGTGCAGGAATCCAGGTACGGCTGTGGCTATGGGGATCCAAACCTTCTTGTGAAGGTCACCGGTGATCTTTGTGTTGTGGATTCCAGTAGTCTGTTCCCCAGTTGCTTTTTAGTAATGTATCAGCATTTCACCCAGTTGATCACTTCCTCCTTTTTGAGACTGTTCATTTGGCTTTCAGACACCCTCTGTATTGGTTCTCCATCTGCCTTTTCTTCTCTGTCTACTTTACAAGTTCTTCCTCACTTCCCCCATGTTTAAACATCAGAGTACCCCAATCTCAATATTTGAACCTCTTCTCACCACCTACAGCTACTGCTGGGTGATCTCACCCAGTGGAATGATTTTAGAATACTGACAGTTCCAAAATTGTGACTTCAGCCTAGTTCTCTCTTCACAACTCCACATACTTCTGGCATCTTCACTAGGATGCCTTCTAGTCATCTGAAGTGAACATGCCTGAAACAGAACTTCAGCTTCATCCCACTCTCCCCTCAAGACACCCTCTTCTTCCAAGAACGTGGCACTCTCATCCTCCTGGTGCTCTGGCCAAAGATCTCACAGCCCGCAACCAGTCCAGCAACAAATCCTCCCTTCACAGTGTCGTCCAGCATCCAACCATTCCCTCCCATGGCCGTTGTCTCCTGACTGGTCCCACCTTGCTTCATCCCCCACTTGCTGCTTCAGGTCTGTTTTCCACCCAGAGTTCAGACTCATGCTCTAAACCTGCACTGTCCAGGGTAGCCATTAGCCATGTGAGCGTTTGAAATTCAACTCGTGGGATGGAGGAACTTAATTTTTAGTTTTAATAGATATAAATTTAAATAGCCACGCCAGGTTAACGACTACTGTATGGACGATGCAGAAGTAGAACATTTCTGCCAGCACAGAAAGTTAAGGTAACTGCTCTCCTGGCACCCTCTCTCTCAGAGATTACAAAGCCAGCTCTTCACTGTGGTCTTTGAGGCGCCTGGTCACCTCTCTGCCCCCACACCTGCCCTCCTGTTGGCTCAGGCCTCTCCAGCCAGCTGGCCCCCAGTGCAGCACATACTTCTAGAATGCTGTTCTCCCAGACTGCCACATGGCTCCTTCTCTATTTTCTTTAGAGCTCTGCCTCAGCCCCACCTTATCAGGGAGGCTGTCCCAGGCTATCTACGTCACAGGATCACTGTTAACCCCCTACCTCCCACCCCCACCCCGGGAGTGAAGTAAGCTTCAGAGTTGCAGGACCTGTGTCTGCTCTGTTCGCTGCTGCATCCTGAAGATCCTGCAGAGTGTGTATTTTGAGTTCAGTAAGCATATGTCAAGTCACGGGAAGATGCATTTCAGAATGATCTAGAAAGTGGACTTGTTAGACAAGCACAGTTAACTTAGTTAACTAAGTTTTTTTGGGGGCTGCAAATCTCTTGGTGACCGAAGTCATCTGCTCTGTTTGGAAAAGAAAAGTACTTGTGGTCTCCTACACTTTTGAAATGTGTTTATTTAGCAAAACATGGTTAGCTTTTATTTAATGCATAAGGAGGGCAAAATATTAAACAATGGAATCTTCAGGTTTTTTCCTGGCATTTACATATTTTAAAAGATGAAACGGTTAGGTAGGTTAAAAAAAAATTCAAGTAAAGAGAATATAATAACCACACTGAAAGTTTGGATTGTGCAGGAAAAATTCTTCCCAAAACTATCCTCCCACCCCACTGGAAGCAGTGACAAGAGTTATATTTACACAATCTCCAGATCAGTCTTTGTTCATATTCAAGCACACTTTTCACATAGTTGCATTCATGGTCACGATAGCCTGTTATTTTCGTGAACATTGGGTCATAATAATTTCTCATCACGAAGACAGTCTTTGGGTCGATCATTCTTAGTGAAGAAGGCAAATGTTCTTTCAGGTAAGCTTGCTCCGGTTTGCCTTTCCCCATTATTGAGTGTTATTTCTAATTTTTTCACTGTTGTAAGTTAATGCTATGGAAAAATCCTTATACATTATCTTTGCCCACATTATTTCTAAATTTAGTTGCCCAGAATTAAATTTTGGGTCAATGCACATGACCATTTAAAATTGATGAATATTATCAGATTTCACATCCATTCTAACCGATTTCTAGGGACAATCAATAATTAATGTAGATGTGGGAAGAAGACATCAAAACTCATCTTTGAGATTTTTTACAAGTGTTCCAGACCATGGATTTTTCTCCCTTGTCTTATTCTTCCCCTTTCTCAAGTGTTCCAAAAGTAACCTGTTCTAGGTTTTTATCTTGGTTTTAAATGGCTGTCTTTTTGCACCTGTAATTCTTTGTTTAATGCCATATTGACTCCAACTTGAGCTTCACTTTCTCCAACCCAGCTGGAGATTGAAGAGCTTTTAAGCCAGAATAATTAATTCCCTGCTATGGAAATGTTCAGACCTGCACTTTAATTACTCTGCAACCCAGGTATGAATAGCCACTTGCCCAGGAGCCCAGTGAAGCATCTTTCTAGTCCTTTTATAGTCACTGGAGGAGGTTAGTACCATGAATCTGAAGAAGGGAGAAGATGAGCAAGGCTAGACAGGAAGTCCTCAGAGGGCAACCTTAATTGTCTTTTCTTAAAAATTACAAATGAAAAGAAAAAAAATCAGGAATGATGTATCTTTTACAAGTTTTTTATTTTTAATTTATTAAAACAATACATTAATAAATTTAAATTTATTTATAAATTTTTATTTATTTATTGCTATGTTGCTTTGTTGCTGCACGTGGGCTTTCTCTAGTTGTGGTGAGCAGCAGGCTTCTCATCGCAGTGGCTCCTTTTTGTGGAGCAGGAACTCTAGGGTGCAGGGTTTCAGTAGTTGGGGCACATGGGCTCAGTAGTTGCCCTGTAGCATGTAGTGCCTTCCTGGACCAGAGGTAGAACCTGTGTCCCCCGCATTGGCAGGCAGATTCTTAACCACTGGGCCACCAGGGAAGTCCCTTGATAGTCTTTATGGCTGTCAACATATAGAACATGTGAGATGCTGGCATTTAAAGCAAAGTGCAAAAATACTTTGTGTTAGCATTTCTTTACTTTTCTTTACAGTCTTTCTGTGTCTGTCTTTATATTGTTTCATGTTTCCTTTTTTGAACTTTATGTAATAAAGTTATACAGTATGTAACCTCTGATGTTTTAACTTCACATTGCTTCTAAGATTTTGATTTGGGCAATCGTGATTCATATTGCATTCTACGATATGAAT